CCACATACTTATAAGTCACCTTTGTCATTGCTGTGCTGGTCAACCAATTCCTTAAAGAGTCAGGTTCTTCCAGTCCCTAAGCAACCACAGGTCGAAGGTATCACAACTTTTCCTGTGGGTCATAGGTGAAATATCTTCAGCTCTTCAACTCTGGTAGACCAGTTCTCCATTTAACCTAAATCCACACACACACACAAAAATGAAATTTCAAAAATAACATGGTCATTATTTGTGAACAACAGTAAAGAAATAACAATATCAGCATTAGAATCTTCCTAGCCAAGGAGATATTTTAAAAACTCGAAGGAAACACCTGACTTCACAGAGATTTCATTTCAGTTTGAAGGACAGATAATAAACTAAGCAATAGCAGTTCTGTTGCTGTTCTAACGTGGGTCTAAGACTCCTCTCTGGGAGCACAGCCATTGCTCAAGGCAAGGGGAGCAACAGGGTAGTAGTGTCCCCTCCTCCCTCAGCATGGATCAAGGCAGGAGAAGTGCAAACAAGTGTAGATAAACTTGTGTGAGCCTGGACAACAGAGTCCAACTATGAATCAGAATACTATTGCACCAGTGTGTATGTGAGGAACACCCCAAATAACCTGTTTCATAATTTAATGATGCCATTACTACACCCGAGAGTTACAGGTAGTGTGTAATGCTTCAGTACATTTTGTAGGCTTAATAGGTTCTTGTTTGGACAATTTTAAAATTAAAGGAAAGTTTTCTCAGCCAATTCACATAAAAAGAATTTTGAGGTGACAAACTATTCCTTGTATATCTTTCAAGTATAAGTTTATATTCTCACCTTAATATTTATTTTTTATCACTGTTTGTATTCGCTTGAGTTCACAAAAAAATTCTTTCTAGTTATTTAGAAAAAGTTAAGAATTATGATATAGTTATTTTTTTCTAATTTTATTCAGATATCTCTTTCTCTTTATCTCAAATGTTAATTCCTCAGGTTTCAATTTACAGGCAAATAAGTAACTCCATTCCTCTTCGTGCAATGTTCATATTCTTTTTCTAAGCATGGCAAAGTTTTCTCATTTTATTTGCCTAACTTCTCTTACTTTTTTTTTTTCTTTTTTTTTTTTTTTTGGTTTTTCTCCGGTACTGGGAACCGAACTCACGACCTTGCGCTTGCCAGGCAGGCGCTTTGCCACTGAGCTAAATCTCCAGCCCCTTCTCTTACATTATAAGTAGGGCAGGTTTGAGAACCCTAAGAGTGCACAAGCACAAGCATGGGGCTGTAGTTATCATGCATGCCAGCCCCTTGCCCACCTTGGCTTGCCCTTAAAACATTTCAGCCTGCTCAGTCATATTCTTTTCCACAGGTATAAGTATATCTTATAACAAAAGAAATGTTGTCGCACTAAGTATTCATTTCCATCTAAATGAAAGCCCTGAAGCTAAATGAAATAAAAAATAGATACAGACTTCAACATATTTAATCAGGTAGAGAAAGAACCTCTGCTCTCAGGGACAGAGATCATTTGAAGTTATTCCCTCCTTAAAGAATAAGAAAAATAAAGTAGAAGCCCATGGAACAAATGGGACAGGTTCAAACATGTCAATATATGCAATATGGGAATTACATAAATAAAACAAGAAAAAAATGAAAAGAGAGATGCTTATTTAAAGAAATAGTGGCTGAAACTTCCCAAATCTTATGTCCTACAGACATACAGGTAAAATTCCCAAAGAGGAAAAACCCAAATGACATTACAGCAAGACACATTATCAACAAATTGTAAAAAGTTAAAGACAAAGAATATTGAAATAGCAAGACAGTAACCCATAAAATTCAAGAGAAACTTCACTACTGATTAGCAATTTCTCAAAGAAAATTCAGGCAGGAGAAAATAGGACAGTATACTCAAACTACAGGAAGAAAATAAGCTGTTGGCCAAGAATAACCAGTCATTAATCCCATTTTCCCCAATGTAAATTCTAAACCGTTTATAATGTTCAAATGTTGACAATTTGGGGCCTTATAAAAAATAGAATTATGAATAATAAGCTCTTCTGTTTCTAACTTTCACACATTATTACGTTTGTGAGATTTATCCGTGTCTTTGGATACAGTAACAGTCTGTGTACTTTCATCGATATTTGTACTTCATTGTATGCATCTCCTTCATTTATTCATTCTGTTGTTGATTGGCACATAGGCTTTTCCCAGTTTGGAGATATCACAAATGTTATGATGAGTGTTGCTGTACATCCAGCTCAGTGCACATCTGTATGTTTGAAGTGGAAGAGCTGGATCAGAGCGACATGCCCATTCAGGGTCAGTTCTCCAACTTGTGCAACACTTCACTTTTCCAAACTCAGAGTTCAAGTGGTCTGTCTACTTCATTCCCTATGCTGTTTGCTAGGGTATCCACAGTTCATGATGTTAGATCTTTACCCATTCTTCTGAATGTTTAGCGGTGGTTGGTTGAGATTTTCACTGTCTGATGATCATTGAATCAGAGCACATTTTGTATCCTAGATGACTGTTTGTACATACAGTTGACATTGAACTTTTTCTTGTAAAAAAAAAAAAAAAAAAAAAAGGTCTTATCCACACAATTCCTACTGTCATCTTTGTCATCAAAAACTCTCAGTCTATGTGTTTGTCTGTCTCTGAACATGCACTTCTGTTCCACTGGGCATCTTGGTTGAACTTACCTTGACAGAACCTTCCTGATGCCACATAATATAAAAACTCATTCTGGTGCTTCCTGGAGATTCCTGTAACTGTAAGTCCTTAACTTTCATATGGAAAACTTAGAATCAATTTGTAAATTTCCATTTTTAAAACATAGCAATTTTTATTTTAATCCAATTAAATCAATTTACTATTTTGTGAAGAATTGACATCATTATAATAATAAAATTTTCAATCCTTGAAAGTTTTAGGACATTCCATTTCCTCAGGTTTTCTTCAATTTTATTGAACAATATTTCAGATATCAGTGTCAAAAGAATAGACATACTTTGAGTTCTTCCTCTATATTTAATCCACTGATGATCACAGTAAGCTCACGTTTCCAAAAACACCAGCTTTGAACACATGAGGCTTTTGAGGGACATTCTTGCTCTAAATTATAACATTTGTCCCCTGGAATCCAAAAGAATTCTATCTACCTCTTTAAGCAAAAAACTCCCTTTAGTCCATTTCTAGAAGTCACCAAAGTTTTAACAATTCCGGTGTTGCAGAAAAGTTCAAGTCTAAAATCTCCCTGAGGCTTAAAGCAAACTCTTAGGTAAAAGCACCCTTAAAAATGAAAAATAAGATTAACTACTGCCAACATACAATGGTACAAGATAAACATTTCCAATACAAAAGCGAAGAATAAGGGAATACAAAGGAATCAGACCAAAGTAAGACTGAAATTTAACAGGGTAAATATTAAATACTGTAGTTCACGGTCTAGCACACAGACCACGTTGTACTACATGTAAACTCCGAAGGGAGTCAGGAGGCCCACCCTTACAGCATCCCCTCCTGTAGCCCTCATGGCCTCTTCCTTGGGGTGGCTTTGCTTACTGCCTCTGGCTTTCCTCAGCACACATTTCATGTTCCGTGTTCTCTAAATTTCTAGGTATCCACTGCACTTTTGGCTTTATTCTCACAGTTGCATATTTGCAGGTGCAGACTGCCTGGTCCCCCAGCCTTCTCCTGATGTCCAGTTGAAAGCTTTCCTGAACCCACAACTCTTGCATCTGCTTGCTTGAAAAGCCAGCGCCACGTGAATGACACCAAAATCAGCCACCAGTTCAGACAGTACCCAGGCCCCCTGGGGTAGCTGAGGACTGAACTGAGAATTGAGAACTGTCACTGAGAATTGTGAAGTTTACTTTTTTTATTCACTTCCTCAAGATTCCACATTATGAGTTGAATTTCTCAATAAAGGATAATTCAAACTGTCTAGTTTTAATAAATACAGATAGTTTGTATCTTTCAAAGAACATACCATTCCAACAGAATTGTCTATTATATTGCCATCAAATGCGTAGTATTTCCTGATTGTCCTTTAATGTCAATAGAGGCCAAAGCAAGATCCTTGATTCTATTCTTGACACTCACAGTTTGTATCTTTTTTTACTCTTTGTCAATTATAAAAATTTATCAATACTGTTCATCTCTGCTTCAACAACTGGCTGTTGGTTTTATTGCATTTCCTCTACTGATTTGTTATAGAAATGCATTCCTGGGCTGAGTCAAATGTTGTAAAGGATAACTTTCCTGTGTTTTCTGGCTTCTTTTGGAGAAGATGCAGGAGCCCAAAGGAGACAAAGGTAGGGATGAAAGAAGTAATATCTTAAATTTCCACGATTGTGGATGTACATACTTAGGTCTCTGAATTCTATTCCTTCCTTGTTTTTAGAACAATTAGAAAATTGAAAAGAAAGAAGATAGAAAAGAACTTGGATATATATGTGCAAGGTAGAGAAAACAGACATGAATTTTGGATGAGGAGAAAAGGCAAGTAATAAATTTCTAACCGAAGACTAACTTTGGAAATAAACACAAAGACATGTAAATCAAAGCAGCAAATATAATTACATGATAACTCTTTGGTTTCCAGAACAGCTCCAGAAAACTTTTTGTGAGCTCAAGCAAATAGAAGTGATGAAAAAATTATAACTTAGATGATGATATAAACCATTTCTGAATGATAATTAGTAAGAATCTTGATGGTTTAAAGTGCTTCATTTTGAAATTACTGAGAAAAACTTCTTTAAAGTTTAAAACTGATCTCTGGACAAGAGACTCTGAATCTAGAAAGTGCACTAAGAAGTAGTAATGAGGACTTAAGTATGAAAATCATAAAATTATAAAACGTATAGCATGACATGCATACACACACACCAGGTTAAGAACTTCCTATTGCATGGTTTGATTCCCTTACCCAAACAAGCTTTGAAACACAAAGTAAAGCTGCCTGGGTAGGGTGAAGCATCTGTGAGGTTAAGCCTCAGTGAACAGCTGTCTGGGGAGGTTTTTGTTCAGAGATAGAGCACTGTGGGAGGAACATCTAAACCCTGCTGACAGTAATAGTTCCCGGCATCCTCGGCCTCCACAGGGTGAATGGTGAGGGTGAAGTCTTCCCCAGCCCAACTGCCACTGAACCTGTCTGGCACCCCAGACTCTCGTGTGTACACTGTATAGATCAGGAGTTTGGGAGGCTGTCCTGGCTTATGTTGATACCAGTGCATAAGATCTATACCAAATTTATTAACACTCTCACTGGCGCTGCAGAAGATGGTGGCCTTCTCCCCTGGAGACACAGTCAAGGAGGCTGGAGACTGAGTCAGCACTGTATCCCCGGTGGAGTCTGGAATGATAAACACACACAATAATCACCAAGACCCTTGCAATACAGACCCACTGTATTAGTAACACTGGTGAATGTATCCACCGTAAGTGTGTCCAGTGTTTGCCTACACCCCTCACCTGGAACCAAAAGCAGCAGCATCCACAGCAGGGGAGCTTTTGACCCCATTTCTGAGGACTGCCCTACAGACCACACCTCACAGGCCACTGAAAGCTGCTTTTAAAGATTCTTTGCACAGGCTGGACCACTATCTAATGAGGCAATATGCAAATCAGCTCAGGGAAGCTTTGCTTGTTCTCAAATTGCAGACTTGCTCTCATTTTGTCCTGCAGGAGGTGAGGTTAGTAAAGTAAATTCCAACTGTAGCTCATGTACATCACAAGGGATGTTGAGACCTGTTCCAGTGAATCTGAGCCTCCTAGTCTATCAGAGTTGCCAAAGGAAGGAACACACTGTGGCTTCCACTCTATGAGGATATAAGTTACCTCGGAAATTCTTTTAGTTTCTAAAATTAAAATTTTATATCATCTCAAATAATAATACAAAGGTTGAGTAAAAATTACAATGTATTTAAATTTTTTAATATATATATAAAATTTTATATATATATAAAATATTATATATTTTAAATATATATATGTATATTTTAGTAAAAGATATATTTCCAGGAATCCCCATCAAAATATTCCTTTTCATTTCAAACATATGTAACACAGTATTCTTGCCACATTCTGAAGTAGTTCTAGAAGTCTCCTTGTGTGTCTTTACTAGGTATAATAAAAAATTTGGTGAATCTGCTGCAGATTACCATCTAATCAAAAAGCAGGCTCATAAAAACAGTATGATGCATCCTTACCCACCAAATTCATAAGATCTGGTACTATGTGACTTCTGTCTCTTCTGCAAACTCAAAATGACCATAAGGGGTCAAATTTTGAAATCATTCAGGACACTGAGGCAACCACAAAAACACAACTAAAGACCCAATGGAAAGAACTTATAAAAATGCTTCAGAAAGTGGCAAGTGTTTGAAGCATGGGGGAGTGTTTTCAGGGACATTGACGGCAATGTGCCTTTACTATAATACTTCAGTACTGTCTTCTTCAATTTAGACAGGCATGGGGCTGGGGATTTAGCTCAGTGGCAAAGCGCCTGCCTGGCAAGCCCAAGGTCGTGAGTTCGATTCCTAGTACTGGAAAAAAAAAAAATTTAAACAGGCACTATTTCTGTATAAAACCACATACATTTCAGCTTGTGATCACTGTCAGAAAGAGAAAGTAACCATTTTCTAAAAGAAAGAAAAATAGTGGCCTATTTCTAATTGGGGGTCGCGTTGGCCTTTCTGAGTAAATGGCTTTTAAAAGGATTCTATAAATATCGTCAAGACCTGGAATATGAATATGTGAATATGGAACACAGACAAAACCTTAGAGACCACACCAATTGACCTTGCCTCAGAGTTTACATACTTGGTGCCAAAATCATTATAGAACCCACCCAATGCCCCCAATTATGAAAAGTCTTTCTATGGATTCTGTTTCATAATGGAAAACATTCAGCCCTTAACTTTTAGTTCATTCATTTTTCTTGTTATTGGAGATTAAACCTGAGGAAACTGTGTTCCTCTACCACAGATGTGGTGTCCTAAAGACATTAACTTTATACTAAATTTAGATTGGTTTTAGGCTACCACATGAGCAACGTGTTTTCAACTTTAAAACAGTTTTAGAGGTTAAGAGTACAGGGAACTCTTTATTTTTTCTAACTTTTACAAACGTAGTAAGTCTTCTACTTAATGTACCCATGGACAAATACTTATTGCTTATTATAGGATTTTTTTCAAGTATTGTATGTAGCCCTACATGCCAGAGTAGGTGAAGGCACTGGTTCCAGCCTAAGCACGATCTGGAAGTAAAACAACTGGAAAACAACTACTCAGGAAGAAGAAAGAGAACAAAGCTCCAGGAATCAGGAAAGACACACATCACAGAGAAACATCACGATGGTATAGACTAAAGAGCAAAGCAATCCATAAATTCAGCTCTCAGTAGAGAGAGGAGCTTAACTCCACAAGCTCAGACTAGACCAGAGGGAGGTGTGGAGTTCCAGGGATAAAAGATGGCTGCCTACTGATCCCTCCCAGGAACAACTCGTGATTATGACATCCACTGTGGGGATTTACTCTGAAAATGACCTGTCTTGTATGGCAGGCAACTCTCTCCAAATCTCAGATTGGTATAACCAAGGGCCATTTTGAAAAGAGTTTATTGTTTGAGCTGTTCTGCGCATGAGAGATCACAGAACAAGTACCTTCAGGGTCCCTGAGAACACCACGCCACAGTGACTAGGTGCAAAAAGAGACAAGTAGTCATAAAGAGTGGTAGGTGTAGGTGCAGACCCCTAGAGAAGTGTAAGCAGGAAGAGATCTGCACTGAGGACATAGGCCTGTCATGTGGTATTCTGTGGGAGCTGCATAAGATAACACCAGGATCAATCCCCTCATCCCCAACTGCCTGGTTCCCCTAGCTGACCCCTCCAGCACAAAACTCAGAGTTTTTGCTTTCCTCACCCACCAGTATTTGGGAAAATACTTTGGCTTGGGCATTTGCCACATCCCGGGGTATACTGAATGAACAAATCCTAAACCCTGTGGATTGCGTATAGCCCCAAGACAGATAACATACTACTGCTATAAGAAATTACGAACAAACATTCCAAGAATTCCAGGACACACACAAAAGACCAAATTTACAAATATTTGTTATGGAAGTTCAGACTAAAGACACAGAAAGTCTACTGACTGAAAGAACAGAGAACTTCACAGACTTGGAGAGAGATATGTACATCCAAGAATAGAAGGAATTTATGGTCCCAAATAGGCATAACCAAAAGCTAACCTCCTTATATGAACTTTATAATTAAAATTCTAAGAGAACACAAAAAAATACATTGAAGGCTGCAAGACAAAAAAATGTAAAGCCACTTATAGAGGCTTTAAAACCATAAGAATAATTTCAGGTATATGCAGAAATTCTAAAGCCCAGCAGGGCATGGGACAATGTATTACAAGTCTCAAAACAAAATAACTGCAGATTACATTACTATATCCAGCCAAGCCGTTTGCCAGACTGAAGGAAATGAAGGAATTTCCGAGATAAGCATACGCTAAAGAAATTCATGATCATTGAGCTAGCATGGCAGAAGATACTTAAAGGAATCCTACATCCAAAGGAGGAAAACTATGTTATCAATAATTAGGAAATCATCAAATATTACTAAAAAAGAAAAAAAAAAAACAGAAGCAAAATAACAGGAGTCACTGCCACTGCCACTTCTTTCACTGGGAAAGAGGTCTTAGCCCTGATACATACACATAGGATTAGTTACAACTGCAAGGGCTGAGTGAGGCTCAGTGAGGCACTGCTGCCGGGTTACAGGGGTGCAGGGGTTTGAATCCTGAATGTCCCTCAGAGGCCCAGGACTTAAAGGTATTCCCCACGGTGGTGCTTTTGGAACATGGCAGAACATTGAAGATGCGGAGAAGAGTGGGAAAGGCTTAGGGTGTTAAAGGTGTGTGATTGAGGGGGATTGAGGGACCCTGGTCCTTTTCTTGCCTTCACTTGTCTCCTGGCCATGACAGAAATGATTTTTCTATGGCACATGCTGCTGCCATGAGGTCCTGACTCACTGCAATCAGCAAAAGTGAGCCCATTGCATATGTGAACCCCCGAGAATGTGAACCAAAATGACCTTTTTCTCTTTCGAAATTGCTTCTCTAGGTTATACTCAAGGAGAGCTGGCTAACACACAAAGCCTTTTCCTTTCACATTAACTTTCTAAAGTATGTGTAAAATTGAGTAAGGCTTGGTAACACTCCCTTCAGTTAATGTTATTAAGAGAGCATACAATAATAATCCAATAAAAGCAAAGAGATCAGTTTATTCAGAGTCCACTGCTCCATATGGATTTTTTGATTAATGAGAGAGACACAGAAAGTATCACTTAAAATGGCATCAGTACCAGTCACAGAGAGTTTGAGAGAGGGGGCATCAGGTTTGGCTGAGACAGCAAATATAAGATCAAGAAGTTTACTCCCACAGGATAGAAAACTCAGAAGAAATGGACAGATTCCTAGATATGTACGAACTACCAATGTTGAGTCAGGAAGATATCAAATTCTTGAACAGCCTAATATCAATCAATGAGATTGACAGCGTGATTAAAAATCTACCGACAAAGAAAAGCCCAGGCCCAGATGGATTCCCAGCAGAATTTTACA